ACGGGGTGAGTGCCGTCACCAGCACCCAGCTCTAGGTCACCCTCCGTGTCCCCCTGGCTCCCTGCACCCTCCTTCGCCCAGTGCCTTTAGCAGCCAGAGCCTGGGGACATCCCCCAGCCCCAGTGTCCCCACCTCTGTGGGCAGGGAGGGGTCAGGGGCTGGGTGCAGTGAGGGGGGGTTGTTTTTTGGGAGATGCCTCCTGCAGAGGATTAAAGCTGCCCTGGCAGGATCCAGGCACAGCCCCGGTGCTGGCTGGGCAGCACGGTGCATTCACGGTGCCTTTTCTTTGGAGTGGTGGTGGGGGATAGTGGGGTCTCATGGGGGGCTGAGCACTGGGAGCCCCTTGGTTGGCTGCTGGGAGCCCCAGTTGCCTGCTGGGAGCCCCTTGGTTGCCCCCTGCCCCCTTCTTCCCTGTGCTTTCCCCCTCCCACAGCCCCCAGTCTCTCCTCTGCCGGCTCCTCCGGGCACCCAGCCAGCAGCAGGGATTTATTAAAGGCAGCCTCGACCTTGGTGCCCCGGCTCCCCGCCATCCTCCCTGCCTTTCATTAGGAAAAATTAAATGGGAAGAGGTGGGGGAGGGGAGCCCAGATGCCTGGGTTCCCTGTGTTAGACTTGGGGGGGTGGGGAGAAGCTGGGTGCTGGCCTTAATGGCTGTGGAATATGACACCCCAGATCTTGCTCAGTACCCCTGATGCTGCTGGGTGCGGGGCACCCTCATGCTTTAATCTGTATGAGACACCCTCCCCCCCCTCCGTGGGCTCGGAGTCCCTGGTCTTGCCAGGGAGGGGTAAAAGAATATAGGGAGGGTCCTGTGTCCCCTGGTTTTGCTCTGGGACCTGTCTCATGGGGCATCGCCGCCTCCCCATACCCCTCATGACGTGCATAGGGGAGCTGGCATTGCCCCCTGCCCTGTCCCCCCCTTATTGATTAGGGGACAGCAGGAAATTGCCTGGGTACTGGGTGATAAATCCATCAGATGCCTGGCAGGCGGGCAGCCACCCCCGGGGCTGGGTGCTGCCTGATGGATCGCTTCCTATTAGCCCCGGCACAGGGGGGCTGCTCTGGGCCGGGCCGGGCTCCAGTGTGGGGGACAAGCGTGGCACTGCTGCCTGTATCTGCTCTCGCTGAGCTTGGCACTGGCCCCCTTCCACCTCTGCTTGGCCAAAGGGCTCGAAAAACCTGGGCAGATGGATGCTGCTGGGGGGGGAAAAACGGGGGAGCCCCTTGCTCCCCACATTTTGCAACAGGTTGTCCTGGAATTTGTGCCCAAATTCCTATCCTGGCAGGTGGGCAGGGGGGCGGGGCTGGCTTTGCTCCCTGCTGCAGGAGGTGTGTGCCCTGGGGTGGCATCGCAGCCTGTGGGGTTTATTTACAAACAGGCGGGAGCTGGCACAGGGCAGCCGGGCACCAGCGGGACCCGGCGGCCTATAATGTTAATTATCACCACGTAATTAAAAGCCCATAAAAAGCCTCACACTTCATTAAATTAAAGCTTCCCTGCACCGCGCTGCTGGGCTCTGGCAGAGTTAACCTTGGCCGTGCCAGGCACCAGCCCCGCTGCAGCTGGGGACCCGTGCGTGGCTCGGGGTGTATAGGACCCGTGGCTGGGGGTGCACAGCCCCTCATGGTGCTATAGGAGGGTGTAGCATTGCACATGGATGGGCACCCTCCGACACCGTTCATCACCCCGAGACATGCGTGCTGGGCACACCCAGCTGCGTGTGGCGTGGCACAGGGGCAGATGCCCACGTGGCGTTGCCCGGACGTGTGTGCCTACGCCACCCCTGAGGACACGCCATCACACACAGTGGGACATGGGCAGGAGGCTGGCATGGACACACGCAGCGTGCACGGCCGCTGCAAAGGCAGCATCACGCGCCGGCGCACAACGCCCACGCGGTCCACACCTACACAAACAGCATTTCTTCCTCCCTCTTAATACACAGACACGCAGACAAACAGACACACACCCTGTGTCTTTTCCAGCCTCCCACCCATCCGCAGTGCCTGGAGAGGTGGGGGAGAGCCCACATGTGTGCCTGCCCCCTCTGTGCCTCAGTTTCCTCAAGGGCTGTGCTGTGCTGAGGGGGAGAGGGGTGCATGGAGGGGTCCTCAAAACCTCCTGGAGGCTGGCTGCCCTAGGTCGGGGGTGCTGTGCCAAGGTCTGGGGGGGGACACAAATTGGAGAGGGGACCCAGCATGCAAGGAGGGGCATGTATGCACCGTGGGGGATGTGTATATGCTAAGGGGGGATATATCTGGACTATGAGTGTGTGTGCATGTGCATGCGAGTGGGGGGGGCTGTGCTGGGGGTGGGGACATGCAGAAGGAG